TTTGCCAGCCAGGCGGCTTGTTTATCTAGCCAGCTCTCTTTTCTCCGAGCCCGACCTGTCTCTTCCCCCCCACCCCCTCTCCGCTTTTTGTCCTTTCCTTCCTCCCTTTCTCTTTTCCTCGCGTGAAATGGCACTCGGATTGCTGCTACCCATGGATTACAGGGATGCGCCGCGGCTCCTCGCTCTTCCAACGAGGCAACGAAAGGGTAAGGAGGATATTTATTCAGTTTTATTTCGGACTCGCTTCCCTTTGCCCCGAGGCGCCGCAGAAATGACTCCCGAAGTCATAAAAGAAAGTCTGTGTGAGAGAGAACCTACAGAGTTGCTCATATATAGTAGGCATCCAGATGGACGTCCTCCTGGTTTTCTTTTATGACTTTGCCGGATGAGATATAGAAGACCCATATCCGTCTCAGCAGAAATCCAAAATGTTTGGGCTTTGGCCAGTCTGGGGGCAACCGCGGGACAGTGCAAAGTGGTGGGTGGTGGGGAGGAGGGGAGGGCAGGAAGCCCTGCCACCTGTCTCTTCTGCGGTGGCGTCCTTGCCACTCGGACCCGACCCTGCGGAGCGTTTTGCAGAAAGACTGTGGCATTGAGAAGCGACCCTTGCAAGGCTCCGAAGGCGGCGGAAAAGGGAGAGGGACGGAAACAGGCAACGTGTGGCGGCAAAAGTATTCATAATCGTAAGGGTGCGGGGGAGGAAAACCTCAAATGAACGACAAACTCCGGCAGGAGTGTTTCAGCCCCGACGCCCCGCAGTCCTTCTCCGTGCCCCCACCCGCGCCCCCGCCCTGCCATGTTTTATTCTCGCTCCTAGAATTCCATCCGCATGCCTCTAATTCGCAACAGGTGGTTTTCCCTCCCTCATCCGGGGCATTAATAATACGCAAAGCCAAAAGCACGCGTTCCTCCTCCTCCCTCCCCCCCGCCTTCCAGGTTTGCTGCAGCCACCGTCTGCGTTTTCTAGGGATGGAGTGGCCTTTTTTTTAAAAAAAAAAAAAATACTCCTATGCCTGCGCAGGAGTCGCGCAAGCCTTCCCTAGGAAGCCCCTGCCCTTCCCCCTTCACGCCGAGATGTCTGGGCAGCCGGGGCTTGCCTTGCGCTTCCGCTGCAGGGCAGACAAGAGAGGCCGAAGGTTTGCAAACCTTATAACTTAAGGGTCTCGTTAAACCTTTCTAAGAGGGCGGGAGCGGGAGGTTTGTTGGTGAAACGCTGGCAGATAATGGAACGGTTCTGGGTTGTAATTCCGCGTAATTCGTAAACGTTTTCGGCGGGCCACCGCTTGGGGAAGGGGAGGGGGAATCTTGTTCAAATATTCTAAAGTGCGCCTTGTTGACCAAGAAGATATGCGTGTGAACATGTTCCGCGGTAACCTGTGTGTCGCGGAAAACGAGACCAATATGGCTGCCAAAGATCGGGGATTTACTTTTCGGTTGCAAATGCGGCTTATCCTAGAGCCGTGGCTTTTTGTAGTCCAAAGAGAGAAGCGAATATGGATACGTCAATTTATTCCTGAAGCATTCAAAAATTAAGAATGAGGTATGCATGTTACATGTAGGTTGCACAGATCGATGGAATTCCGTTTGAAGGAAGTGGGGGTTATTTCTTTGTCTGTGGGCGGCGTGGGTGGCAGATCTGAGAGCCTGCCTTGTGAGCGTGTGTTGTTGGTATCCACAGTGGGAAAGGGATGAAGTTCGTTTCAGCAGAAGCCTGTTCAGTTTTACTGGGCAAATTTATTCCGGTGCTTACTGTTAAAATGGACAGGACCAGGTTGCAGATTATATTTTCCCAATGATATGTTTATACTGTCTCCAGATGGTTTCAGCAGTCTTCACTTACTACAGTTAAAAGCATGATGCTGCATTATTGCCGCCTTTGTTAAAAAACAAAACAAAACCAAATTGTAAATGAATTGTGCGTTTCCAGGAGGTCTTTTGTTTTATTATCTCGGTGAAAATGCCTTTTCCAAATGTGATGCATAAAACTGTTTATTTTCCTTCTACGCCCATCTTGCTTCACAGCCTTACTTTTAGGAGTACTCTAAATTATGGGGTGCTCAAGTATCCTGCTGGACACAGAAGCAAGTTTCCGTCTTCTGAACCCATTCTACATCGTGCTGGGTGGTTGGAGGTATTTCATTTCCCCCTCTTTAGGTTCTCGGAAGTTACACTAGAATCATCTGAACCCGATTTTGGTATTTCCAGTCGTCTCTGTAGAATGTATGTTTCTGAATTGCTAGCAATCAGTCGAGAGGCAACAAAAAATACCTGCAAGACTGGGAAGTTTTCGTATGATTAGAAATGAATGGCTGCAGTTTATGCATCGCAAGCACTCCAAGCGGAAAGATGATTCTGCAAAGCCCGCCCACTTTTTTCTCTGGAATAGCGCGTCCCCTCCCCCATAAAGGGAGCCATTAGTTGGAGACACTTTGCAGATTGTATTTGTGCCTGGATACTCGAAATCTTGCTTTTCACACCTGCTTCAAAATACAGTAGGATGTATTCAGCGGTGTATGTGTTCCAGCTGGTAACTCTATTAACATAGTATGCTTGGGTTTCAAAACATGCAGTATTTTTATGCAGTGCAACAAAAAAAACCAAACATCTCCAATATTAATAACCTAGGGCTCTGAAAAAAAATTCATTATTTCTGGCTTAGTCGGTTACTAGATCTGGTGGATAAAACTTTGCACTCAGAATCCTTACTTCTAAATATACCGTAATGATTGAAAGAAAGTGCTACAGGTTTCAAGAGGGTTAGCTTCCCTCTTTAGATGCAGTTTTGCGCACGTTCCGACCAGTCAGTCGACCTATCTTTCCTAAATGTCATTGACTTCAGCGGGAACTTTCAGTGGTCTCTGAAATCAATGGGATTTGCATGAAGGTTGTTGAGATTGGAATTCTGACTTAATGCATTTCCCTTTCGGAGGCAGGCGGGTTCGTGAAACTCACACATCAGCCCCAGCCTCTTAAGAGGACCACGACGTCTGGGTTCTGGGGCACGAAGAATAGAGCCAGGAGGTCAATAACTGAGTAAAAGGGGTGGGTGGGTAATTTTTCTAGCGGAGAATACTACAGCCACAGTGTGTGGATCCTACTTAATTCAGATCTTGCGTATGTTTCGAAGGGGGGAAAATGCTCAGGAGGAGGGCCTTTGTGAATC